AAAGCCATCCTGAACAGTTTCCAAAACCTTTCTCCCTCATGGTTTGATTCTAGAATTTCACAGTAGAGTTTCTCACTAATTTCATCAGTATCATTTGGTTGTCTGTATCAAATTCCCACTAAAAGCCTTTTCCCCTTATATCCACTAATAAAAACCCAAATGGATTCAATCTCTTTGCTATTATCTTTGATATTCTCAACTTCAACAGGATGTAACTCACATTTTACATATAAAGCCAATCCTCCTCCCCTCTTTAATACTCTATCTCTATTAACTAGAATGTAACCCTGTATTTCAAAGAAATTTCTGTCATCAAAATTATCTACATTTAACCATGTTTCAGTTATTCCCATTATATCACAATCCTCTATTCCTACCAGTGCTCTAAAGTCATCTATTTTATTTCTTATACTTCTACCATTACAATAGTAACAATTAAGCCTATCCTTATAACTAATTCTATACTCATTTCCTATACTAAACTTTTCTCTGCCTCTTGTTGTTTTTAGGTTCAGTTTTTCCCAGCCCTCACCACTGTCTAGTCCTAGTTTAAAACTTCCCTTACAGCTGAGTTAATAGCCTTAGCAAACAAGACATCCTCTACTCTATTTAAATGTAAACCATCCATTGCAAAAACTCTCTTCTCCCACTGAACTGATCCCACAAGTCCAACCAGCCAATCTGCTCATTCTTACATACTAACCTAAGCCTAACATTTAGCCCTAATGACCTACTTATAACTTCATCCCCACAGTTAATTCTGGGCAGTATCCCAGACAGAATTAAATTATGGCAATTTTCTTTAAGTGCCTTTATCAAACCCTTATACTTATTAATTAACTCCTCTGACCAACATTTCCCTACATCATTAGCCCCTACATTCACTACAAAAACTGCATCTCTGTTAACCCCCTTTGTTATATCTCTTGCTCTGTCAGTTATATCCTCCACCTGTGCCCCTGGATAGCATAATCTGGTTATTTTCTCCCTATTTACCCCACAGACTATTCTAGCCACATGCCTTATCGAGGAATCACCTATAACTATAACCTCCTTGTCATCCACATCCTTCTCTGACCCTTTTGTTTTCCTTTCCTCCAATAGTTCCCCATCTGCACAGTCATTTAGAGTTAAGAAACAATTAAAATAACTTTGTCTTATGGCTTATCCACAAGTTCAGTTACAATTTATTTTTAAACCATTATGTCTGATTAAAGATTTCAATTTCTTTTTAAATTTAAAGATAAGATTTCAGGGTTACAGAACTTTTAAAGTTATTTATTTGTACGGGTGTCCTAGATATAGTGGTAAGAATTTTAGAAGGCATGATTAAAGAGCATGGTCATCTAAGATTGCCAAAAAAACTTCAATTATCAAATAATTTACTGTAAGTAACTGTGATTTATACATACACCTATTTTAAGATTATTGGTAGGACTAATGATAAAAAACAACATTGTATTAAGAAGAATTTATTGTTCATTGGGTTAAAACCAGAATCTACTTAAATAAATAGTGCCACTGAATAACCTCCTGAAAGACTTCATGTTACTGGGTTTCTTATTTTGTGAATAAACTAAATTTCCATTCTTTGTGATTTTTTTAATATTAGGAAAAATCAAAACATGTGTTTATCCTTAACTCTGTTGAATGTATTTATGTGAATTGTATTTTTCAAGGATGCTTCTCTTTGGTTTCATATCAGACTTGGAAAAGATACTATGAATTTGGATGGAAAGTTTTTATAACTCATAATAATACAAATGGTTAAAATTTATTTGCTCAAAAAAATTTGTTAATGATTTTTTTTTAATTATACTAAAATAATAGTGATAATAACTATGAAAAAATTATTTTTTCATTATTTGGTAATTCACAATGTTTATAAAGTTCAGCTACTCAGCTATTTTGTATCTAATTGATATATTTGGAACTTAAAAAATGAAAACAAGTAAATTATTGAATAACAGTATTATACATTTAAATCCAGTCTCTTGTATCCTTTCCATTGTTATTTAGTGGCACTGTGTTTATGTATAATATTTTTTATTAGATCATGTTCTTTAGTTACAAGATTTTAAAGTTTATGAAGGAATATTGTTGTATATATGAATTGAATCTTCTGTTTTTCTTGTTTATTTTCTATAGCTGGCACAGTTAAAAAAGAAGGGCATCAGTGTAAGTACAAAAAATGCAGTTCTAAGAGAACAACTGATCATATAGGTTTGTGTATATCTGTATGTAAATAGTAAGGTAGATTTTCTAATGGGATCTGTTGAGAATTATGAATCATTAAGAAACTTGCATGTAAAGCACAGTTATACATATTCTGTGCAGCATTTTACTGATCAGTACATAAGATCATATTAATGACAATATTTTTAAAACTTAATTAAATGTAAATAGTAAAGAAATGTGTAAGAATTTTGGAAATACCACCAAGCTGGTGTTATTTTTATGGATAAAGAAGGAACGATAATGTAAGTTTCAAAACTAAAACAAAACTATAAAACTAAATAAAAGCATAATGGATCATTATTTTAAACTGAGAAATATACATTATTAAAACAAATAATACACCCTTAATATAAAATATGTGAAAATCTAAGTGACATCTACCTGTCAGCAGAACTGAACAGTTTCTAACAACAGCTGTGTAAACTTTGTTTATCATTAGTCAGATATATAATATAAATTTTAGTAGTTAAAAGTTCTCGAAAGGTAATTGAAAAAATGGGATATCTGTGTATCTATGACAAGGGTTATAATGGTAGGTTGATATCCAATTAACAGCTGTAATAAGTACATTTATGTTACACTGATAATCAGTTGTGTAAATGTGATTGAGTTGATAATTTTATGATGATAGGCAATAATCAAATGTAAAAATAATGTTATTCTTACTTTAATTACTCTTTATGTAACTATAAAGATTATAGTTACATACATACATAGTTTCATATCCTCAATGTGCGAAAATTGAAAAGACTTATCAACCTACAGCAAGCAGCAACCAAGTACAAAGGTTGTTGTGCTAATAAATATGTTTATGTTACTCTAATTATGCCTTGTGTAACTCTAACTGAATGAGCTGATAATGATATGAAGATATGTACACATTGGGAGGTGTGAGAATAAGTATGTTTATGTCACTTTGATTACTGATTTTAACTGAATGAGCTATCGTGATAGGATGTAAATACAGAATATTTATGTGAAATGGATTATGCTATGGAAAATCTATTACGGGTTAAGTAATCAAGAAAATTATTATTATAGTCACGAGAGTTGTGACGATAAATGTATTTATGCTACAGCAGTTTCACCCTCTGTACAACCTATAGCTTCGATGCGTGTTTGCATGGGGTCTCGGCGAGGATTCATTTGTCGAATGAAAATTGGAAATTGCCAGCCTGATACAATAGCCACCAACCACTTACATCATATTAGACAACGCAATACCCTTGGACCTTCCACTGAGGGGCATGCGTTTGCTGTAGTACACTGTACCGGTTATATAAAGAACTGGCCTCCAGCAGGTATGTATTGTTTCATAGTACTTGAAAATACCAAATATAACAAAATCAATAAGTTTAGTCTTATAGATAATTTGTTCATCATTCCTTTATACTATTATTTATGCATTTTCCATCACAAAATCATGCCATTCTAACTTTTTAAAATTACAAATAACAATGCCCAGTATACAGTCTTATCCAAAATATTTTCCAAAAATATATGTTATTTGTAAACCCTATTGCTTTTAGCTCCTCAATAAACTATTCATAGACAACAGTTTAGACAAGTATTTCTGGATGACCTTAATATATTGTATATTTGTGTTAATTTACTTTCACAATATGTGGGGTAGTACTTTAATTTAATATTGTTTTAATATCATAATCTAGAATGTTACAGAACTGTGATCCAACTTTATTGTATTAACTCTTGTTGTTGTGGAGCAGTTCACAGTTACTTGTCTTGTAACTTGTTTTAATTTTTCAAGACACAAATTTTGTTCCTGTAAAAATTAATATAAACTTCTTTGAAATCAATAATTGTTGTTGTCTTTTTTTCATTTGACTAAATAAAGTGTTTATCAATTTCTTACTTTTCTATCTAATTTATTATCAGTTAATCCGTACAATTTGATATGTATATGAATGGTTCTTTAGTAATTATTTTGTCAATCTGAAACTTTCAGCTTCAATTTGTTGTCATTCTCTTAACCTTCAGTTCATATTTTAAGCTAGATTGGTATCATTTCCTATATTTATTACTTATGCTACTATATTTGTATAATTTTAATATGAAATAAAATTAATTATAATGTGATCACCACAACTGCTTGAGCTATCATGAAAGGGACATTTTCCAATTTACTTATTTCAAATTATTTGTAAACCCATTTCACTCATTAGATGTATGTGTTATTGAAACTTTGATTTCATCTTGTGTTGGTCTTAAAAAGTGATTTAAAATCAACAGCCTACTAAGTTAGCTCTGAAAATGTGAGTAATAGTAATCTATGCTGAAAGTTTTAAGTTTAATTTTTAGTTAAGTGGAAAGTAACAAAAGCTATAATAATAGTTGAAGTTTTGTTTCCAAGACTTAAGAAGATCATATCACTAAACTGAGGAAATGTTAAAACTGTTTATTAACTAATGTTTTTTCATAACTTGAAAAATTGCTATAAAAAATACAAAACTACCACTGAAAAATATGGAATTGTCATATGCATTCTCTGTTACACTCTGAAATGTGTAAGTCTTTTCATTATCCTTGAGTAGCTTAGCAGAGAATCTAAACATTAATTTTTTTTTTCAAAGCTATCAATATCACTTTTTGTAAATTGGATTAAAATAGCTGGATTCAAGATGGTTTAGTTTCTTGCTTTATAAAACAGAGGCAGTTTATTAACATGATAGCTTCATGCTGATTTGTGTTTCCAGGTGTTCAGATCGATCGCATAGATCCTGAAGATCCCCACAACAATAGTCATTGTTGTTTAGTTGCCATTGGTCGACTGCAAGTTACAAGTACGCCTAACCCCAGTGACTTAATGGGGTCCAATTCATTGAATGAATTCATTTCACGACACAGCATGGATGGAAAATTTACCTTTGTGGATCAACGGTAAATATGATGATTTTGTTGCTCCTCATAATCAACATTTTTAAGTAATAACAGAAAATACACTTTTTATGACATCTTGAGTTGAAGAGTTCTGGAACTATAACTTTTAACTTTACTTAAAATTTGTATAACTTTAGACTAATTATTTTAAAAGTAAGTATAATTACATTATTGGCATGACCATCATAATTACTACATATTTTTACCAATTTCTGTGTATAAAGAAACCCAAAATTAGTCTGTTACCATTGTTACTTCATAATGTATTCTATAATTCAGTTACTGCTAGCTTTTAAGCTGGTTAGTGTTTTAGTGAATCAACATTGAAACTTTTCATAAAGTTGAACTTTGTAACTTACGTTAGTTACATAGGAAAGCAAAATGCATACAACTGTATTTGACATATACTGTAACATAAGATTAAAAGCTTTATTTAATTATTGTAAGGTGATATTGTTTGCTAAATGTAAAATTTTAATTACACTTTGATACTTATTAATCATAAGCTTTCACAACTGTATTGTATCCATTTTCAAACTAAACTGAAAAATTTTACTAACCACATAAAAACTACAGAATGAAATCTAAGTCTCCTGTGAGCTTTAGAACATATGCATTTTTACAACCCAATCATTCCCAATTACATGATCTATAGTTAGAGTCCATTACAGCATCACCATGTAAATACATTTCCTGGCTTTACATCAAGGGAAGAAATGAAAATTACATAGGATATTATTTAAGCATGGTTACATAATGATCAATGTAAAAGAAAGATTTGCCACCATTAACCCTCTCCAAACTGGTCAAATGTCAAAGATCATGTCATCGCGTGTGTTGGCTCTCATTCAAAATTTTATTGAACTACTATTTCATGAATTTATGTCAATAAGTTTGGTATCAATCTGTAGATTACAACTCAAATTTAATATTATACATTATTTAATTTCTTAATTTAAAAGTAAATATT